TTACTCCCCTATACCAATCAAGCTAGTCAGAGATTACTGTTCATTAAAAGAAAAGAATAGAATCTTGGGTAAAAATAATTAATGCTATAAAATTTGTGTTTTCTCTCTCTCTCCTGTGTGTGTGTATGAGTTTGTGTGTGTGTGTTTCTGTGCATGTATGTTTGTGTGTGTTGTATGTATTTCCCCCACTCCTTTGGTTGGACTTTTCTTTCATGTGCTCTCTATAGGGCTGGATTTGTAAACAGATGCGGCTTAAATTTGGTTTTTATTTTAGATTGTCTTATTTTCTACATCTATTGTGATTGAAAATTTTCCTGGGAATTATAGTTTGGGCTTGCATCTGTGGGCTCTTATACTTTGTAAGATTTTTTTTTCCTTGCCCTTATGGCTTTTAGAGTCTCCACAGAGAAGTCAGATGTTATTCATTAGCTCTTATATGTTACTTGGACTTTTTCTCATGTAGCCTTTAATATTCTTTCTTTGGTCTGTTCATTTAGTGCTTTAATTGTTATGCACTGAAGATAATTTCTTTTTGGGCCAGTCTATTTGGTTTTATACATGCTTCTTATACCTTTTTAGGTCTCTACTTCTTTAGATTAGGAGAATTATTCACCTATGGTTTTGTTGAAAATATATTCTGTGCTTTTGACCTGTGTTTTTTCTTCTTCCTCCATTTCTATTCTTAGATATATGTTTTTCATATTGTCCTAGATTTCCTGGATGTTTTGAGACAATATTTTTAATTATATTTTAATTTTTATATTAATTACAGTTAATTCACTTTGCATCCCAGTTGTAGCCTCCCCATTCCCTCCCCAAACTACCCTACCTCCTTTCCTGTCTTCTCCCATTCTCCTCTACAAGTTCACTGATATGGGAGCAACTCCTCCCCTTCCATATGACCCTAGCATTTGAGGACTAGCTGCATTGTCTTCCTTTGTGGCTTAGCATGGCTGCTCCCCCCTTATGATTGGGTGGTCAAAGAGCCAGCCTGTGAGTTCATGTCAGAGACAGTCATTGTTCCCCTTTCTAGGGTACCCACTTGGAGACAGCTTCCATGGACAACATCTAAGCAGGGGTTCTTGGTTATATCCATGCATGGTCCTTGGATGGAGCATCAGTCTCAGAAAAGACATCTGTGCTCTGATTTTTTTTCTTCTGTTGCACTCCTTTTGGAGCTCCTGTCTTCACCCGGTCCCACTATCTCCCCCTTCTTTCATAGGATTCCCTGAACTTTGCCCAAAGTTTGGTTAAGATTCTTAGTATCTACTTTGATATATTGCTGGGTAGAGTCTTTCAGAGGCCCTCTGTGGTATGCTCCTGCCTTGTTTTCTGTTTCTCTTTCTTCCAGTGTCCATCCTGTTTTTCTTTCTAAGTGAGGATTGATCATCTTACCCAAGGACCTCCTTCATGATTAGCTTCTTTAGGTGCACATATTTTTATATGGTTATCCTATATTATAGGTTTAGTATCCACTTACAATTGAGTATATACCGTGTGTGTCTTTCTGATTCTGGGATACCTCACCCAGGATGATCTTTTCTAGATCTCACCATTTCCCTACAAATTTCATAACTTCTTTGTTTTTAATTGCTGAGTAGTATTCCATTGTGTAAATGTACCACAATTTCTGAATCCATTCCTCTGTTGAGGGACACCTAGGTTGTTTCCAGGTTCTGGCTATTACGAATAAACCTGCTATGAACATGGTTGAACAAATGTCCTTGTTGTTTAATGGAGCATATTTTGGATATATGCTTAGGAGTGGTGAGGCTGGATCTTGAGGAAGTGCTATTCCTAATTGTCTAAGGAAGCACCAGATTAATTTCAGAAGTGACTCTAAAAGTTTACATTCTTACCAGCAATGGAGGAAGGGTTGCCTTTTCTCCCCATGATGGGTGTAAGATTAAATCTCAGGGTCATTTTGATTTGCATCTCCCTGATGGCTAAGGACTTTGAACATTTCTATAAATGTTTTTCTGCCATTCTATATTCCTCTACAGAGAATTCTGTTTAGATTTATATCAAATTTTTAAATTGGATTACTTGATTTATTGTTTTTAACTTCTTTAGATTTTTATATATTCTGGATATGAGCCCTCTGTTAGATATAGGGTTGGTGAGGATCCTTTCCAAGTCTGTAGGCTGTTGTTTTGTTCTGATGACTGTGTCCTTTGCTTTACATAAGCAAACCTCAGTTTCATGAGGTTCCACTTATTGATTGTTGATCTTAGAGCCTGTGCTGTTGGTGTTCTGTTGGTGTTCTGTTCAGGATATTGTTTCCTGTGCCAGTGAGTTCAAGACTCTTCCCTATTATTTCTTCAAACCGATTTAGTGTGTCTGGTTTTATGTTCAGGTCTTTGATCCACTTGGACTTTAGTTTTGCGTAGAGTGATGAATATGGTTCTAATTACATTTTTATACATGTAGACATCCAGTTGGACCAGCACCATTTGTTGAAGATGCTGTCTTTTTTTCTATTGTATGGTTTTGGCATCTTTGTCAAACATCAAGTATCCGTAGGTGTGTGGGTTTATTTCTGGGTCTTCTATTTGATTCCATTGATCCACCGTTCTATTTCTATGCTAGTATAATGCCGTTTTTATTACTATTGCTCTGTAGTACAGCTTGAGATCAGGGATGGAGATACCTCCAGACAATCTATTGTTCTAAGGATTGTTTTAGCAATTCTGTGTGTTTTTTTTTTTCATATGAAATTGAGAATTTTTCTTTCAAGGTCTTTACAGAAAATTGTGTTGGTATTTTGATGGGAATTGCACTAAATCTGTATATTGCTTTTGGCACAATGGGCATTTTCACTGTAAATCTTTCCGATCCATGAGCATGGGAGATCTTTCTATCTTCTGATGCCTTCTTTAATTTTTTCTTCAGAGACTTGAAGTTTTTTTTCAAAGGTATTTCAATTGCTTGGCTAGTCACACTGAGGTCCTTTATGTTATTAGTGGCTATTGTGAAGGGAGTTGTTTCTCTAATTTCATTCTCAGCCTTTTTTTTATTTGGTATACAGAAAAGCATCTGATTTTTTTGAGTTAATTTTGTATCCAGCTAATTTGCTGAAGGTGTTTACCAGCTGAAGGTATTCTCTGGTTGAATTTAAAGGGTCGTTCATGTATAGTATTATGTCATCTGCAAATAATGATAATTTGACATCTTCCATTCTAATTTGTATCCCTTTGATCACCTTTAGTTGTCTTATTGCTGTAGCTAGGACTTCAAGTACCATGTTGAAGAGATAAGGAAAGAGTGGGCATCCTTGCCTTGTCCCTGATTTCAGTGGGAGTGATTTAAGTTTTTCTCCGCTTATCTTGATGTTGGCTATAGGCTTGCTGTATATTGTCTTTACTATGTCTAGGTATGTGCTTTGTATCCCTGATCTCTGCAAGATTTTTGAATGGGTGTTGGATTTTTCAATTTTTTTTTTTTTTTTTTTGGCATCTGAGGTGATGATCTTGTGGTTTTTCTCTTTCAGTTTATTTATATGGTTGATTGCATTGATGGATTTCCGTATATTGAACCATCTTCACATACCTAGGATGAAGCCTACTTGGTCATGATAACATGATAACTTGGTCGGTGATAACTTTTATGTTTTCTTGGATTTGGTTTGCAAGTATTTTGTTGAGTATTTTTGCATCGATGTTCATAAGAGAAATAGGTCTGAAATTTGCTTCTTTTGTTGGGTCTTTGTGTGGTTTAGGTATCAAGGTGACTGTGGCTTCATAGAATGAGTTTGGTAATGTCCCTTCTGTTTCTATTTTGTGTAATAGTTTGAAGAGAATTGGAGGTAATTCTTTCTTTGAAGGTCTGGTAGAATTCTGCACTGAGACCATCTGGCCCTGGGCTTGTTTTGGAAGGTAGATTTTTGATGACTGCTTCTATTTCCTTGGGGGATATAGGACAATTCAATTGATTCTACCTTATCTTGATTTAATTTTGGTAAATGGAATCTATCATTAGAAGTGTCCATTTCATTTAGATTTCTAAATTTTGTGGCATATAGATTTTTGTAGTAAGACCTAATGTTTGAATTTCCTCAGTGTCTGTTGTTATGTCCCTCTTTTCATTTATAATTTTGATGATTTGGATAGTTTCTCTCTGCCATTCAGTTAGTTTGGCTATGGGTTTGTCTATCTTGTTGATTTTCTCAAAAACCAGCTTCTGGTTTCAATGATTCTTTGAATTGTTTCATTTGTTTCTAATGTATTCATTTTTTGCCCTGATTTTGAGTATTTCTAGCCATATTCTCCTCTTGGGTGTGTCTGCCTTTTTTTGTTTGTTTGTTTGTCTCCTAGGGCTTTCAGGTGAGCCCTTAAGTTGTTTGTATGAGATGTTTCAAGTTTCTTTTTCAAAGCATTTAGTGCTATGTATTTTCCTCTTAGCACTGCTTTCATTGTGTCCCATGAATTTGGATACTATTTGCCTTCATTTTCATTGAATTTTAGGAAGTCTTTAATTTCTTCCCTAACCCAGCTGTCACTGAGTAGCGAGTTGTTCAGTTTCTATATAGTGTAGGCTTTTTGCTATTTCTGTTGTTGCTAAGGTCCAGCTTTAATCCATGGTGGTCAGATAGAATACAAGTGATTATTACATTCTTCTTGTCTCTAATGGGGCTTGTTTCATGACCAACTGTATGATCAGTTTTGGAGAAGGTTCCATGAGGTGTTGAAAAGAAGCTGTACTCTTCTGTGTTCGGGTGAAAAGTTCTGTAGACATCTATTAGGTCCATTTGATTTAGGACCTCAGTAAATGTCTTTTCCCCCTTATTTATCCTCTGTCTGAATGATCTCCCCTTTGTGCGAGTGGAGTGTTGAAGTCTCTCACTATTAAGGTGTTGGGATCCATGTGCGATTTAAGCTTTAATCATGTTTCATTTACAAATGTTGATGCTCTTGTATTTGGGGCATAGATGTTCACAATTGTGATGTCTTTCTAGTGGATTTTTCCTTTGATGGAAATGAAGTGTCCATCCTCATCTTTTCAAAAATATGGAATGCTTCATGAATTTGCATGTCATCTGTGCTCTGTGGCCATGCTAATCTCTGTATAGTTCCAATTTTAGTATATGTGCTGCCGCAGGGAGCTCAGTCTTTGTCTTTTTATTGGTGAGTTGAGTCCATTAATGATATTAATAGTGACCAATGAATGTTAGTTCCTTTTATTGTGGAGTTGGTGATGGTGTTACTGTGATTCATTGCTTATTTTCTTTTTATATTTTGTTGTGAAGTTATCTGTATTTCATGTTTTCTTGGGTGTAATTGTTTTCGTTGGATTGGAGTTTTCCTTCTATTATTTTCTGTAGGGCTGGATTGTTGTGTAGATATTGTTTAAATTTAGTTTTGTCATGGAATATTTTGTTTTATCCATCTATGTTGATTGACAGCTTTGCTTGGTCTCTGTTGGCATCTGTGGTCCCTTAAAGTCTGCATGGCATCTGCCCAGGGCCTTCAGGCTTTCACAGTTTCTGATACAAAGTTTGGTGTGATTCTGATACCTCTAACTTTATATGTTATTTGGCTTTTTCCCCTTACTGCTTTTAATATATTTTCTTTGTTCTGTAGATTTAGTGTTTTAACTATGATGTGACGTGAGGAGTTTCTTTTCTGGTCTAGTCTATTTGTTGTTCTGTAGACCTCTTGTACGTTTATGGACATCTCTTTTAGTTGGGAATTTTTCTTCTATGATTTCCTTGAAGATATTTTCTGGACCTTGGAACCTGGAATATTCTTTTTTGTCTATTGCTATTATTCTTAGATTTCCTCTTTTCATGGCATCCTTGATTTTTTGGATGTTTTATGTTTGGAACTTTTCTGATTTTACTTTTTCATTGAGAGAAGTATCAATTACTTTAAGTATATCGCCATCACCAAAGATTCTCTCTTCTATCTCTTGTATTTTATTGTGATGCTTACCTTTGTGGTTCCTGATCTTTTCTCTAAATTCTCCACCTCCAGAATTTTCTTCGGTTGTGTTTTCTTTATTGATTCTAATTCTGTTTTCATGCCTTGCACCATTTCCTTCATCTGTTTGAATGTGGATTCCTCTCTTTCTATGATGGCCTCTAAATTTTTCTTGATTTTCTCTCTATGTGCCACTAACTGTGCCTCAACCTGTGCTTCCATTTGTGTGGCTGTTTCTTGCAGAGCTTTGTTCATTTCTTCTTCATTAGCTTCTATTTGTGTGGCTAATACTTTGAGAAATTTGTTCGTTTCCCCTTTATGTGCCTCTAATAACTGGATAAGCATAGCTTTAAAATCATATTCCTGTGTTTCCAGTGAGTTGGAGTATCCATTGGTTTTGGAGGTTGCTGGTGAATCCATGATGTCCTGATTTGTATTATGTTGACCTCTGCCCATATGCTTATCTGTAACCTTTACTGTTTGTCCTGGAGCCTAAATAGTTCAGACAGGGTCCTTCTTTCTCTGGTGTCTGGACTATCCTTCAGGGCAATGAGAGAGGTCCTCTGGTTTGTGAGTGTGTGTTGGTGTTTTAGCTGTACCTAAGTGAGAAAGGTTGCTGGTGCAGAAGCACAAATGCAGGCAAGAAAACCCATGCATGTGTGTGCACATGGAAGTGTGCTTTAAAGGACAGGGTGCTAGAGAGTGTAGATTGCTGGAATGTGGGACAGGGGGTGGTGCAGGTGAAGGAGGGGTTGTGTATGCTGTCACTATTTTTGTACACAATGTACATGAGCAGATTCCATGAATACCTCAGTGGCCTACAGGCCATCGGTATTCAGCTCTTTCTGTGCTCCAGGAATTGTTTGCTTGTACTCCACTGGTAGACTAACAGAACACTGGCTTCAGTGTTGAGAATGCTGTCCCAAGAATCCCTATGTTGCCCACAGTGACGCTGTGGGTGGGAAGGATCTGATATCTGGCTGCTAGTGTAGTGGGTAACCTGGATCTGGGGCTCTGCAGATACTCACTTGAAGGTGTACTCCTTCTCTAGCAGGTCTAATAGGAAAGCACCCCCTCCCCCCCAGTCTTCTACTCTCAGATTTGGGCCTGGGCAAATGCAGGTGTAGTTAGCTCAGTGGTTCTGCAGCAGCAGAAATTTGAGGCTGGTAAAGTGATCCTGTGGGAGTCCATTCACAGCAGGAGAACTGGGAGGCAGGTACAGATACCTGCTGGGAAGTCCTGGGGAGCCCCTACACTTTTTTATGAACCTGGGTGTCCCAGCGGGCCTTGTGAACCTGGGTGGCCTGGCAGAAATTGCTGACCTGGGTATCCCATAGCTCTGTCACCACTGAGGGACTGGGTTGCCAGTAGAGTCACTGGCTAGGAGGCCCTGCTGGGCCATACAGCTACTTGCAGACCTGGGACCCAGAATTCTAGTATAGCTAATAGCCACTCTTGAAGAACTTGAAGTCCCACCTCTGCTGGTTCTGGTTTCAGCTGCCTCTCCACTCACCAGTTTTGGAGTATGAGATCCTCTGCCACTAAATAAGGTGGTCTACCCATCTTGAATCCCCTTGATATAATTGTTTTAATTTAATATTTTATTTGTGTCTTCAGTGCCTGGTATCTGTGTAAGCAAGTGTTGCAGCTCTGAAGGAAAAGGTATCCTAGCAGTCAAGAACCAAGGAATACCACATCATCATATTGCACAACAAACCTCATATAGAGATTTATTGAAAAGGAAAGCCAAGGAGGGTAGCTTCCTTTGTTCAGGTTAGAAACAGAAGGAAACTGAGCAGACATAGATTTTATATATGGTTTCTTGTGGGGGACCAAGCTTGGGAGAGTACAGGGATTTGTGAGAGTTCCTCTTTAGGGATTGGTGGATTTCTGTGGTAAGATCAGGGATTGGTGTGACCATTTCTTGTTGTGAGAGCCCTGGGCACTTTCCGACCTCAGGGACCATTGCAGCCATTAGAAAAGTCTTACAGAGGAAGAAACAGGTGGAAATAGAGGGGCTTAGAGGGGACAGGAGCTCTACAACAAGACAAAAATAATTAAAATATCTGAGAACAGGGAGCTTCAGAGACTGATGCACCAATGGAGTACAATGCTTGGAGAGGACCTAGACCCCCTGCTCAGATGTGGCCTATTGGCAACTCAGTCTCCCAGTTGGTCTCTGAGTGAGGGAAACAGGGGCTACCTCTATTATGAACTCAATTGACTTCTCTTTGACCAGTCACTCTTGATAATGCCCTCTTGCTTGGCCATGGAGGAAGAGCATCCAAACAGTCTTAATGAGACTTAACAAGCTATGGACAGATGGCAACAGTGGAGAACTATTTATTTCAGTGGACTAAGGGAAGGGCATGGGGGGAGATAGGGAGGGAAAGTTGGGGGAATGGAGGGAGGGGACTGTTTTTGGGATATATAATGAATAAATTGTGAAGAAAAAAATTAAAATTAAAAATATAAATAAAAAAAGAAAACGATAGGCTTCAGCCTCTTCACTAGGGTCCTCCTTGTTGTTTAGCTTCATTAGGGCTATAGATTTTAGTATGTCTCTGACATCATCTCAGTGGCGGGCTCTTTGATTCCCTCTCCTTGGGGGGTGTACCCTTGCCAGGCCACAGAGGAAGATGATGCAGCCAGCCTTGATGAGACCTGATAGGCTAGGCTCAGAAAGAAGGGGAGGAGGTCCTCCACTATCAAGGGACTAGGGAAAGGGCATAGGGAGAGAAGAGGGAGGGTGTGTAGGACAAGGAGGAGAAAATGGAGGGAGTGAGAGAGGGGAAACAAAGTAAATAAATTATAATAAATAATAATAAAAAAATGAACAGAAAAAAAATAATATTTAGGGCCTGAGGGAAATCTGGGGGTGGTTCCTGGTTTGAGTTCATGAGGCAGGGGTCTGGCCACTTTCCTGCCTTAAGGGTTTACAAAGCATATAAATAATACAAAGTTTACAAGTTGAGTCCATGGTCAGGAAGGCTTTCCATGCTGCTTGAGTTGCTGTGAATACCCACCAATCTGTCTTCTTTTTAAATTTTTTTTTTAATTGTGTTGATGATGCTTGCTTGTTTGAGTTCTTAAATTTTTTGTCTTCAGTTTTTTTCTCAGTTTAGGTTTTCATTATTGTTTCTCTTTCCACTTTTAAGTCTTGAGCTGTTTTATGTGATAGAGTTGCTGAGCTATAGTGGACACATTGTCATGGTTATTACTGGTTTTGTTTTTACACTGGGGTGATTGTAATTCTCGGTGCTTATATCTGGTCTTGTCTTTGTTGAGTAGGTGTTTTGTTTCTTGGTTTCTGTTACCTTCTCTGATTCTTAGAAAAGCATTGTGGCTGTGTATTGCCTGGTAAGGATTACTTAGGGATCCTTCTTGGTGTAGCTACTGGGGGTTCAAGGTAAAATGTGTTGGTATTGGGAGCTAACACACTTAGGAATAAGGATGGGCTAGGATGGGTGAGCTGAAGAGTTCCTTAGGAGGTAGGAAAGCAGGGTGTTCCATCAGGATCTTTTTCATCCCCTGGGAATGGGGGCAGAGTATGATGAGATGCCACAACAGATAGTTTGCTGCAAGATGAGGATGAGACTGGGTTGATTGAATTTGGAGGAGAGTATAGAGAGTTAAGATCTACATTTGGCCTACCTGTATCCCTTGTTGACTTAGTCTATAGGTTTCCAGTGAATGCCTGTTAGTGTTAGGGCCTGGGATAATGTGAATTAAGAAATGGAAGGTTGTTGGGGAAGATCTCTATGATGGGGGAGATGGGGCTAGAGAGGAAGAAAACCCAAGACATATATTCTGTTACATAGCAGGGGATTACACTGGGTATTTTATTTGGGGGAGAAGAGAAAATCTATAATTTTCCTACCTGCATCCTTGGCCAGAGTGTGATGCACATTATCTTTAATAACATCAGTGCAGTAGGTGCACGGGGTAAGACATGGCAAACTACAAAGGCTGATTATTAAGTGTTTGACAAGAAACACAGTTCAAATATAGGTTATATTACCTTCACTTCATTTTATCCCAGAACCAGAAAACAAGTAATATATAAGATGTGTGAAAAGCCATGGTTACATAAAAGTCTCTGATTAGGCATCCTGATTTTTATTTCTTTAACAAATATACCTATGCATGATAATTTTGACACTTTAGTTTTTATTTTTTTTTTTTA